GCGAACAGAGTTGCCAGCGATTTTGGCATCGAGTCGTCAATACGTTCAACGTGTTGATCGCCACATTGATTTCCATTGATCATGTCGATACTCAACTCAAGCTTGAATCACCCAAAAGACGCGGTAAAATCTCACAGAAATATGATCTCACAGAATTAATCTCACAGAAATATAATCTTACTGTTAGCAGAATCCTCTTACATATAACCTGAAGAGAATTTTTCTAAAGCTAAGGTAAACATATTCTAGGCACAATATTCTTAAAATTAGAGAAATTTTTTTCTTTTATCTACAATACAAGTCTTGTGTTCTTAATAAAAATTTCTTCGAATAAGAGAATATTCTGCTTCAAATAAATATGTTCCTTTTGTTACAAAAAGAAAAAGAAATGATATCTAATAGATTTTCGATCAATAGTCTACTTTATTACACTGAGAAAAAAAATACTTGAAGTTTTATTTCATTTTATATGTGGGATATAAAGTTTTATTTCTGAGAAACAAAATTTATTTCTGTGAAATGAAATTCATTTGTGTGAATTGAATCATAACTATCACAAATAAATTTTCAAGTATTTTTTCTCAGCGTAGAAGAAAAATAAACTTTCGCTTCGAATATGGAATTACAGGAAATGGCAGCAACTGAGTGGGTACTAGAACACAGAAAACATAACTCTGTCAGTGTAACTGAATTTTCTATTACCCGGGGACCAGATGAAAGACAACTGTAAGAACAGAAAGAGATCCCAGATTTGATGCAGTTCAATATTCTGACTCACGCCTTAAGTTTTAAGTTAGAAAAAGACAGAAGACAAGAAACAGAAAGCAAAGAGCATATTGTAGATCAGGCTTAACAGAGATATAATTTTTCGTCAGCAAGTTTTTCGTCTAGTCGCCATTCAGTTACCCGAACTGTTTTTTCCATGAATATTTTTCTTTTAATTTTAGAAAATTCCTTTTGAAGCCAATATATTACAAGAGAATTACGTTAAGGATGAGATTATATTTTTTTTTTGGATGAATGAATGTAATTTGCAATACATACATACATTAGTTCGTTTCATTGGCTTCCTGTCAGTTATATATTGAATTTATTACACACAGATTACGTTTTATAGATAAATTAGTAAGACGTGGCAGTATTTTAACACCTATTACTAACGGCCACCAATGGCAGTCAACGTGCTCGTTGGCATTCGTCGATACATTGACGTTACATGACAATCGTTACGTGGATGTTCAGGGTTGCTACAGAAAATCAATTTTGAAATTCCCTGACTTTTTCATGTTTTCTAGACAACAGTGGAGAATTTTCCATGACCAACATATAATCTTCAATTTTAACGTTTAGAAACTGGGATTACAGCAAAAAAAACTTATATTATTAAAAACAATACAAATTTAGTTTAGTAACATAATATTCCCCAGACAGCACAAGATCTCCTGAGGACGTCCTAAGAACGTCCTGAGGACGAAGAATGTCCTCAGGATGTCCTCTGGATGTCCCCTGGACATCTGTGCTGTTAGGGTCCTAATATATATTTCTGAAAATGCACATTTAGGCTAACAAAAATTATATGAGTATTGAAAAAAAGAATATAGATATGAGACGGAAAAGGATGATTGAATGAAAAACGCTGAGTAAAATATAAATTTTAATTATTTTGTTAACGTCATGATGCATAGACTAGCATAGATATATACATATTCAATATAAACTAAGAAAATCTTATTTATTTTTTAAATAACATTTGAATTCCTATACTATACCTATAAACTTTTGACGTTAAAATTAAAATAAAATAAACTTGACATTTTAATAAAATCCCTAGTAACCCTAGATTTAGTAAGGATCTAAAGATCGTGTATTCTTCTCTTATAACCCAGGGAGGGTTACCTTAATTTCAAAGAATTGTAAAGAAAGGCCAAAATTCCAGGTTATTTTATATTTTTCCCTGACATATCCCGGTTTTCCATGGCAAATTTAAATTCCATGACTTTTCCCGGTTTTCCTGATTTTTCTGGTCTGTAGCAATCCTGATGTTACATGACAATGGCTACATTGGTCGCGAATAATTTACGCGGTTTTCGAGGAGCTCGTTTCCGCCAAGACATGACACGAGTAACACGGAGGCGAGTAACAAGGGTCTGAAACATGAATCGACCACCTCCCTTGGGTGCGAGCAATGAATACATTCATTGACGATTCGACCGGCAGAATGTTAATCGGGCGGTGCGTAAGTGTGGTTAAATAACAGTAAAGTCGCGGTTGGTTAGGTCAGTCCCCTCGACCTCATCGCTGTGTTCGCCCAATCTTCTGCGGTCTACCAACGCGCGAGTCTTCGATGAATTCTCGCGTGACTTATTCCGAACTCCTTCGCGCAGCGGCGATCTGTCGGACAATTTCGTTACACTTCCGACACCGTCTGAAGCGACTTCCGAGTTTCGGTAACATCTTGTCTGATTTCAATAAAATTGAAACGCTCTAATTAGAATTTAATGCTGCTCCAATTGCACGATTAAGTGTACTCTTTTTCTCCATTCTTGCGATAGATATCTGGAGTGTTGCTACACAAAAAAGAATGGTCTCGCAATCATGACGAGAATTATCTGGGCGTGAGAAATTAGCTGAGATGAAAATAATTAGTAAATATTGCGACATCGCGTATGTTCTAATGTAAATGACAATAAGGATGACAGAGACAGAATTTCTATCTGAACTGTTTATAAAATTTAACAAGAAATGTGGTTTAACTCTCTATGCGATGCCGATTCAGATTAAGACTAGATTAATATAGACAAATATATGGACTAGTGTATGAATATGAAACAATGAAGAATAAAAAATAACATGAAACTGGATAACTTAATGAAAGGAGAGAATATACACTAAAAACAGTGTAAAAACTGACATGTTAAATTTAATATTTCATATGTCCCAAATCATCCAATCTCATTTATGTGTAAATTTAACACAAAACAAATGTAGTAAAAAGTAACACGTATAATATGTAAAAAATTAACACAAGAATTTAACACTTGAATATACCATCAGGAATCACAGTTTGTGTTAAACTAACGTATAATGTTAAATTAACTAAAATAAAATGTTACTTTAATATTTGAGAGAAATATTAATCTATGGTTTTAATGAAATGAAAATATTAAATTGACATAATCTATGTCTGACATATTAAATATGTCAATTTAACACAACCTGTGATTCCTTACGGTATTCAAGTATTAAATTCTTGTATTAATTTTTTTCATATTATACATGTTACTTTTTAACACATTTATTTTGTGTTAAATTTACACATAAATAAGAGTGGATGATTTGAGACACATGAAATATGTTAAATTTAACACATCAGTTTTTACAGTGTAGTAAGATGTACAAAGTCACAAGGATTAAAATAGTTTGGGACATCTGATTAGAATGACTAGAATGAATGATGAAAGTATAGTTAAGAAAATTGCAAAATGAAAACCATATAGAACGAGATCGGAAGGAAGGTCACGATTAAGATAGAAAGATAATGTATTAGACGATATTAAAATAAAAAAGCAACCAACTGGAAAATGATGGTAATTAGCAGACAGAAATGCTGACGTTGGAAACCAAAATTCATGAAGGGTTATAGAACTAGCGAAAGAAGAAGGAGGAGGAGAAGAATGAGAAGTTAAGTTTGTCTATATATTACTAGAATGCTATTACTGTAAATGTTACGCGTCACAAATAATTTTCTGGCAAATATTAAAAGCAATCAATTTCAATTATAACAACATTTAGAATCCTACCTGGATGAGCAAGACATTTTATTTGAGCAACTCTTCCTTCTACGCAACTACACTGAGGGAAAATTACCTTAAAATCAACAAATATTTCTTTGATAGGTGCCATTAACATAATCATTTAAATCTAAATTCTCTTTATTTAAACCAAATATTGTTTACTTAAGTCAGGTAAACAATATTTGATTTAAATAAAGAGAATTTAGATTTAAGTAAATATGTTAATGGCATCAAAGAAATATTTGTTGATTTTAAGGTAATTTTTCCCTCAGTGTACGAATTTTTAATATGCTCACGCGACTCTCATTCGCATAAGACCGGGAGAGATTTGCATACGATTGCAGGTCAATCGGTTCGGTCAGCGCTATATTATCATGCGCTGTGTGGAGACTGGAAGACCGGTGATTGCCAAGACTGGCCATTTTGTGCGAATCTAGAACGCGCGCGCGAGAGAGCAGACGGCTCTTTTCGTGCTCGATATAAGGGATGAGTCATACTTAAAGAGGTAATCTGTACTTTGAATGTAATGCCATCCGAATTGGCTCTAATGACGATCTCCTCTGCTGCTCGTATTGCTCTTGCGACACGTTCCTCCTCCTCGTGACAGAGAAGCACGTCCTGCCCAACGCCAACCAGGGCGTATTTTGAATGGCGGGTTAGAAAAATGTCACGTACATACAACACCGACCGCGTGCACTTTTTGTTGTGTTCACGACACGTGTCGATCGGCGATGATCGAAGAGAGTTTGACGCAACGAGGCATTGACGCACTCACCAAGCTGAGTCGGCACACGAGAATTTCCAATCTATACAATGACGGTCGCAATTACACACAAACATAACCGGCGAAAAGGACCGACGTGCTCTCGAGGGCCTCGGTAAATTTACACGCAGATAAGAAAAAGGTTCTTCTATCTCGACGCGTTACTTCACCTCCGGCACTCATAAAACGACCAAGGTTGCGTTATGACACAGAACTTAAAGGCCGAACCTTCGCGGCGCGACCGTGTGATTTCTTTCTGACTGTGATTTCGCGATACGGTAACTACCTCACCTTGAACGGACGAACAACGGATACGCTTCCTTCGATCACCGAAATATTCCGCGCGAAATCATCCAACGGCCCGCTCCGCCCGAATGACGGGCGAATGACATCAGCGAATGAAACACGCGCGTTAATGAGGATTTTTCTGTTTAACATTACAGAATTATTTGTCGCAATACGGATATCTGCCGCCGAGTAATCCGGAAAATGGTGCCTTCCTGAGCTCGGAGAAACTGACCGCGGCGATAGAAGAATTCCAGGCATTCGCCGGACTTAACATAACAGGTATGTTATAAACCCGTGTTAATGAATTGCATAAATAAATTTTATAAGGCTCGTTCATGGCTTTATGTCTGTTTAAATAGGATAATTCATGGGTCTATGGTCCGTATTGATAGTCGTTATTTGAAATTTTTTCCATGTCGGACCCCAAATCGGATATAAATTTAGGTCATCGTTACTTGAAACTTGCCTCTCAGATGAAATATGTCGCTTTGAATTTAGAATTAAATGTGAATTTTTCAGCTGAATCGCAATTAGAAATATAATGTCGCATGTATTATGTGAGTATAAAAAACTCAAAAAACTATAAATTTATATCTGAGTATCTTTTACACGTAGTATCTTTTACTGAGTATCTTTTACGACAAGTTTCAAGTAACGACTATTAATACGGACTTTAGAGTTAAATTTGAGTTTTTTTTATTTGAGTCATAATATATGCGATATTACATTGGTAATCGCGATTCAACTGAAAACTCATCTACTAGCTCTAAATTCAAGTCGAATTCAAGTAACAACTATTGATACGGTTCTATAAGAATTAATACACAAGTATTAGAGTACTATAGTATATAGTTTGCGTGTATGACTGCGGGTTACAGTTGCGTTTATTGTCTATTACCAAGTCCTGACTGCACCGTCATTGATGACTCATTCAAGTGTTACGAAGGATGCGTTTACTCAGTGTCACATGCGTGTGATTAAAAAAAATAGCAGAAGGCTGAAATCCTAGAGATGCATCCACACGCAACGTGTCGAATCGTTCGTGGCTAACGATGATAACCATGGGTGCTTCCCTGTCGTTGTGGACCGTTTAATGACGATGAACGATGATGATTCAGAATTCGATGAAACGCGACCGAACTCGAGCCGCCGTTTCAGCAGTGAGTCATTACGTGTGCCGTGTCCGTTGCGAGAGAGATCGTTTTAGAAAATAAATGCTTTCGTTGTGAAACGCCCGGGTGAGAAAAGTAGGCAGGTCTCTGACAAGAAGCCGCGACAATGTGGGTCGTATAACGCGAATTTCTCCTGTGCCAATCGAAAAAGAACAGCCGTGCCTCGCAATTGCCACGATTAGTAAATATCGCGCCCGAATGTAGTTTCCCGATTGTTTCGATCTCATATTGAGAAATGCGTTTCGTCAGGCGTTACGTTCCTATTACTGACGCGCCGATCCGAAAGAAATGCACGCCAAAGGCGTGCAAAAAGATAATGAAAAGGATGAATAAACGAGTAGCACATGCTTCACCGGTCGTAAATGGCACCACGCGAGACTCGCTGGCAGGGCGGAACAGGCAATGGAGCCCAATAAAAACCGAAGGTGAACGGAAGAGTGATCTAACTGTAAAATTGTAGGCCATCGGTGGCGGCATTATTCGAGATGAAGCGTGTTTATCGACCGTAATCTACGCAGCCGCGATGCATTCGCGTGCGCGCGCGAATATGTAATGGGCAATAAGGAAATTTGGAAAAGAGAAGACGATCAAAAGAACAACGATGCATCTATGCATCGATTACGTAACTTTTGTTACGCGATTTTCTTTTTGATATGGTACTTTCAAACATGTTATCATACGATAACAGATAAAAGTATTAGTACTTGGACACATAACTCTGAACATTCTTATTCAGCCTTATATATATCTGAATTTTTAACATAGAAAATATATATACTGTAAAAACTGATGTGTTAAATTTAACACATTTTATGTGTCCCAAATCATCCACTCTCATTTATGTGTAAATTTAATATAAAACAAATGTGTTAAAAAGTAACACGCATAATATGGAAAAAATTAACACAAGAATTTAACACTTGAATACCGAATCATAGGTTGTATTAAATTGACATATTTAATATGTCAGACATAGATTATGTCAATTTAACATTTTCATTTCATCAAAACCGTAGATTAATACTTCTCTGAAATGTTAAAGTAACGTTTTATTTTAATTAATTTAACATTATGCATATGTCAATTTAACACAAACTGTAATTCCTGACGGTATTCAAGTGTTGAATTCTTGTGTTAATTTTTACATATTATGCGTGTTACTTTTTACCACATTTGTTTTGTGTTAAATTTACACATAAATGTTAAATTTAACACATCAGTTTTTACAATGTATATTGAATATATAAACATTTCACATTGAATTTAAATATTTCAAGACTAAAATAATAAGAATGTCTATTGAGAAAAAGAGTATTTTATACTTGCAACTATAATCACACAGAAAGAATTATACTATAAATTATGGTCAAACCATTTTTTTATTGAACTTTACTATAATGTTAGTAATGATAATTTTATATGTATATTACTATTGCCGTTTTCGTGTTAGAACAAAAGAATAGATGGTTGAGGAAGAACAAAAAATATAGTTGGGTTTTGTAAATTGAAAAATGTATAACATTTGAAAAATGAAAAATATATATAACATTTTTAAACAAAGGTATAGCAATTTTTAAACAAAGATATAGCAGGTTATAATTCTGTGTGGTACAAGAGATTATAAAATTTTATTATAATTTTTATTTCAATATTTTTTCCACATACCTAATCATACACTGAAAGAAAAAAAAGTTGATCTAACTAAAATTACAATTATTTTTGGTCTCATATTTTTGGTATTAAAATGGTAGTATATAGTAACATGCACATAAAGTTAGTATTATTAACAGTATCGAATTTAATATAAAGAAATAATTTCCTTGACCATAATTTATAGTAAGTATTTCTCTGTTTGATTATAGTTACAAATACCAAACATTCTTCTTTTTTCAACGCATTGCACTGAGAGAAAAATATAGTTACTTTTAGCGTCAACTATACTCTTTTGTGATTTTAAGTACAAAAAATAGAAAAACCATTGTTTTAGTAAGTATTGTTAGAAAAATGGCTCTTCTGATTATTTTTCTAGTTAAAATCACAAAAAAGTATAGTTGACGCCGAAAGCAACTATATTTTTCTTTCAGTGTAGTACTTTTATCTTAAGTGCATTTCACGCTTTGAAATGTCCTTACGACGGCGAGAAGGGGAGACTAAGGTGCAACATTCGCGAAAGCTGCTAATGTAAAAAGCGACGATGCAAGAAAGAGTTCGTCGACGTTCGCGAATTTTGGGAGATAGGCTTCTCGCGAAGCTCAGGCGCGGAAAAAAGTAATCCCCGTGGTGTACTTGCGAGCTCTCGCGCGACGACAACGAGGAATCTGTAAATGCCGAGTCGCGTGACCGCGGCGAAACAAGCGGTAGCGTATGCACATATGCACGAGCACTCCCGCGCACTATGCATATTATGCATACATGCATAAGGAATTAATACGTGCAAGGAGTGGTGATGCACACGCGCGGACGCGTGAGCGTGCGGATGTGCCCGCTATAAGAATACACCAACGGTCGGGAATCAATATAGCGCGAGAGAATCCCGCCGCTTAATTACTTCCATCACGCAATTACTCCCAGACAATTACGGGAAGTAATAGAGCCCAAGGAATAAAAAAATTAATTTTTGTACAGCGCGACGAACGTTTCTGGCGCCATGTATGATTGCGCGGTGTTCATATTGATGAGAGAACACAGCTTCTGAGAATACGCAGAAACGAGCAATTTGTGTAGAGGAGATGTTGCAGATAGATATTCGCTCATATATATTTTTGTGTATTCCAGGCGAGCTGAATGACGAGACCGTCAAGCTGATGGCGACACCGAGGTGCGGTGTTAAAGACAAAGTTGGACCAGGAGCCGATGGAAGATCGAAGAGATACGCTCTTCAAGGTAAAAGGAATGACGCATGAAGTTGTGTTTAACGGGCAATTTCGCGGTGGCGAAGCAAACAATCGAACAGTTGACAAATCCAAGAAAGTCTAACGCAACTCGCATTGCTAGATGTAACCGCGGGACGTGACATAATTTTACGTTTGATCGAGCGCGCGATTATCTAATCGGCCGATATTGGCTATCGAAAGTCGCAGAAGTTATGTACGCAAAATATTATTGAAAGGCGGCCGACTGTTAACAAGGACTAACACTGCAAATCCAAGCCTGTTATTTCGCCTGTTCTTCAAACGCACAGACGTATAATTTGACTGAAGCTTGTTTTGCACGTTTCTCACGGCTTCAAATCACGTCATTTAACACATTTAAGACGTGTAAATTATAATGCAATACATTTAAACGTGTCAAATGACGTGACTTGAAACGACAAGATACATGTAACAAGAAATTCAGCCTAGATACGCTAAAAAAATATTTCGCTGGTCCAGATAGAATTCTAAAAGTCACAGTTAAGATTTGTCGCTGCTTTTTGTATCCGCTAGAAAACTGCTTGTGGTACGTGGAATTCACAGTAATAGCATTCCAGCAATATCTGTCAGCAAATCTAAATGGATATGAGGATTGTACATTCGTTTATCTCTTATCGTGTTGGTCTTTTTTACCTATTTATCTATAGATTATCTTGCTAAATTTCGCAAATAGTTCACATAGTTCTATCTCTCTCCTTTGTTTTGATTAAACTCAAAACACACGCGTTGTCACTGTAAATCCATATGAGTTATTTTAGCTCCTTCACATACTCTATTCATTAAACCTCTCTTCACATACTTTTTACCTACCGTTCCAAATCATTTGACATGTTTAAGCGTATTAAATTATAATTTACACGTTTTAAACGCGCTAAATGGCGTGACTTAAAACAGCAAGAAACGCATAAAGAGATCTTCAGCCAAATCGCACGCCTGTGAATCTAAGAATAACACACTTGGAGCCGGTTTTTCCAACCTCTTGCTAAGCTAACTAACAGTTAACTCATACGTCTGTCTTTGTTTCTCCTTTAAATTAGGTAGAAACAGACATAAGATTTAATTGTTAGTTAGCTTAGCAAGAGGTTGGATAAACCAACCCTTGGACTTGCAGTGATCGCGGTGTTCGCTAGTCATTTATCCATTTCAGCTGTAATTTGTCGTGTCTGGATCATTTTCGCTACAACTGCGAAACAGAACCTTTCTTTTGTAATATAACCATAGACATATAATATATAGACTGAGAAGGTTTGGCTGACTTGAGAAAGTGTACAGAAATTAGAAAGAGCAAAGTGCTTTGGACTCCCTACCTATCCTTGTCTCTCAATACCTATTCCACCAATCAAGGACGCTCGCTTCTCCTCCACCACGTTTTCTGACAAAGATAGAATAAGGTTTCAAACATGGACGTAAGAATATATGGACGTAGCATATTGTCGCGGGAGTGAAGCCCAAGGGACAAGGGGAATGATTGTATGTATTCTAATGGAGTTGACATATCATAATGGCGGCGGCTGTTTTTATACATAGACAATAGTTACAAACCTCCAACATCATGATGGCCGCGACGATGTAATCCTCTCACCCCTAGGACTTCACAGCCCCTCGTCCGTAATCGCACTTTGCGATATATTCCATATATTCTTACGTCCATGGTCAAAGTATTTTGCTCTTTCTAATTTTCGGACGCCTTCTCATGATGAAAAAGATAGGGAACGCGCAGTCTACTACTGTGCCCAAAAAGTAAGACCAATTTAAAATTTTTTTTTTAAATCTTTATTTATTATTTCAAAATTATTTCGTCGCCTTCAAAATAATCCCCCTCAGACACAATACACTTATGCCAACGTTTTTTCCAACCCTCAAAACAGTTGTTAAAGTCGATTTCCGGAATAGCCTTCAAAGCTTTCTTCGATTCAGCTTGTATGTCTTCAATCGAGTCAAAACGGTGTCCCCGGAGCAGTCTTTTGAGCTTAAGGAATAGCCAGAAGTCACACGGTGATGCTAAATCAGGTGAATATGGCGGTTGTGGAACGATTTTTATTAATATATACTATATGGAATAACTTACTTTTGCTGCAGCAATAATTTGTGTGACTATTTTATTATTCAGATATGGAATCTGTTCCTTTAAATCTCTGGGATTAGCTTTTGCTATAGATTGTAAAGTTTTATAACCAGCTTTGTACAATTGACGAGCTCTGTCCTATGGGTCGAATTTTTAGCGAAATGGTCTCGAAGAACCAATGCAGTGTGAGATGGTGGGTTTATATCTATCACTGCAGTGTGGGTTTATATGCATCACGTAATACGGTTTCCAACCGTAGGGTTGGAAAAAACGTTGGCATAAGTGTATTGCGTCTGAGGGGGATTACTTTGAAGGCGACGAAATAGATTTGGAATAATAAATAAAGATTTGAAAAAAAATGTTTAAATTGGTCTTACTTTTTGGACACAGTAGTATATATTATATGTCTATGAGTATAACACACTTGGACTTGCAGTGAACGCGAGATCGCGACGGCGGTTTAGCGCGCCGCATTGTCCCGTATTTTACGATGTTTCTGGTGAATCGTCGTGCATCGAGCGTACCGACTTCCTGCTGTCTCGCTGCCGCTGCCGCGCTCGTTGATATAGAGTCAGTCACCCTAAACGGGTCATGCGGATCTGTATCGCGATAGTTGGCGCGGATGTTCCAGATGCATTCTAAATTAGTCGTATGAATTTGCTCGAGTTAACTGTTGCATTTCGTCTATTTCGCCATCCAGTGGCGACGGCGCATCATCGGCCTCCCATCGCGCTGGAAAATTCTCCATATCGGGTGGGCGCGATCATCGCGCGTTTCTCTTCGAGATTACAGCCAACCGACCGACCGACCGACCGATCGACTGACTGACTAGTCAAACATTTGCGATTGTGCGCGCTCAAACGAAGCGAATCATCAACGGCGTCTGGAATTCCTCAGATAATAAATCGCGCGTCGCAACGCTGACGTTCCGATCGCTTTGGTCACGTCGTATCGAAAATAACTCCCCGCAAAGGACATTCTCATGCGCGTGACGCGACCATTATCGACGGGATAATGGAGCCATCGGGGCTTCTCGCACGGACTAACCGTGACTTTGAACCTCGCGCGAGCGCTTCACGTTTCAGTGAACCCTCGGTGCTAAGTTCGGCCATGCGTGTATCCGATGGTATGCCCGCCGCTTGAAATTTAACGCCTAACCCCTCGTGCGCGCCCTCACGTCCCGTCGTTCTGGCATCCTTCGTTTCCCCTCTGTTTTTCTTTCTCCTTTTTTCTCTTTTTAATTCCCCTCGATCTCGCGTGGCGACGAGCGCGAATCGTTGCGTAACAGATGAACGTGCATGGTGCACTAAGATATCATAATTGTCGCGCACATGCGCGCGACCGTTGCATAAATCGCGACGCCGCGGCCGGCGCGCAACACGCGAGCCGCGATTTTTATTCTTGTACGGATAACAAACGAAACGCAACGGCACAACAATGGCGCGATCCGCGAGCGTATCGCGTACGCGGATCGCGCGCGGCATCGCGGATTTTTATGATGCGCCGTCGCTGTTAACGGATGTGCATACGCTAATGGTCATGCAGAAGCGTACGCCGCGTTGATAATAGCGTCGCGATATTTTTCAACAAAGCACACACGCGCTCCTTCGCACCCGCGGCCTAACTCATTCGACCGTAATAATTACGTCTTCCCGTAGGGTCGAGGTGGCGTACGAAGAACCTGACCTACAAAATCAGCAAGTATCCGTCCGGCCTGAACAACGTCGAGGTGGACAAGGAAATAGCGAACGCGTTCAAAGTTTGGTCGGGTTACACCGATCTCACGTTCACCCGCAAGACAGGACGTGACAATGTAGGACCACTTAATATACATTGTACTTTTTACTCTATTGTGACGATTACATCGCCAATGCTCGCACTGAGAGAAAAAAATTGTTGAATTAAAATTACTGTTATTTTTGGCACAAAGCCAAATATTTCTTGATTGTTCCAACACAGAGATCAAAGTGGTGACATGCACGAGGTTATTATCGCTAACATTATAGTAGAGTTAAAAAAATAGTTAAAAAATTTTAATTAAAAAAATAGTTTTCTTGGCTATAATTTATAGCAATTATTTCTCTATATATGTATAACTATAGCTACAAATACCAAATATTTTTGGTCTCAGTGTGCAGCCAAAAAATATAATTTTTAGTGAAATTCTCTTGTATATAACCTCTAAAAGATATTTCTAAAACTACAAAAGAAAAATGTTCTAAGCACGATATTATTCTTCTTTGTTACATGGAGAAAAAAAATTGGTTGTATCAACGTTTGATTGCAATAAACAAAGTAACGCATTTTGATTGAAGGATATAGAATTCTAATGATTCTTACGATTAATTTGATTCTAAGAAGAAATTCCGTTTTTTTCAATCAAAACGTGTTGGTTCGTTCACTGCAATCAAACTTCATATTAATACAACTAAACTTTTTTCTTCGTAAAAATAAGGAATACTTTTTAAATTTCTTGGAGTGAAATTTCACTTGAAAATCAGAGCGATTACTGAATCACTTGAATTTGTGCGAATTGTTTACTCTGAATTGTCAAAAGATTATTTTAACTCGAGATTAAAAAGTGAGTTTGGTGCACTCCACCTTCACATGAATATATTCACTCTAATTGTTTGAGACATTCGCTCATATAGAGTCAGAATCCATTTTTAGCTTGAATAGCTTATTACTTTTAACTTTTAAGCTTGAATGAAACGTTCATTCTTATGATTTCAAGCTTGGCAGTATTTTCATTGTCGTTCTCTGAGTGAGATTGCACTTAAAAACATTTAAGTACTTTCCGATAAAAATTTTCATTTAGAATATAAGATTAGAGGAAGTAGCACCTTGCAACTAAAGTTCTTTTTCTGAGTATTAGAATATTTCTCTTTTGGTTTTAGAAGAACCGTCTCGAAGCCACGTATATAAGAGAATTCCACTGAAGATAAGATTATAAATTTTTTAGTAATCTATGTAGAAATATCAACAATACGATGATATAACGCAATGTAATACCACAATGAGGCAGCATTTCTCTATGATTTCTCCTAGATTGAGGGCGTTGTTTTAGGTACATATCGAAATCAGATTCGAGGTGGGCGAGCACGGTGACGGCGATCCTTTCGACGGACCAGGTGGCACTTTGGCGCACGCTTACTTCCCCGTGTACGGTGGCGATGCCCATTTTGACGACTCCGAGCGGTGGACCATCAAAAGCTACCGCGGCACCAACCTCTTCCAGGTCGCCGCTCACGAATTCGGGCACTCGCTCGGCTTGAGCCACAGCGATGTCAAGAGCGCCTTGATGGCACCCTTCTACCGCGGTTACGACCCTCATTTCACCTTAGACCGTGATGATATCGAGGCTATTCAGGTACACAAACTATTCGGCGAATTGCACTCGAACATGAATGAAGCAAGTTTTGAATGGCAATTATGACGAAAACAAAGACATATTTGTGACTTCTGATGTGAAGAGACATGAAAATCATTCCAGGCTTTGTACGGAAAGAAGACTAACCATGGAGGGGGGTCGACGTCGCGGCCGTCACCGCCGGCCGAGGAAGACCCCGAGTTGTGTAAAGACCCAAAGGTCGACGCAATGTTCAATTCAAAAGACGGCGAGACAATCGTATTCAAAGGTACATACTTTGCGATAGCGTTTGAATTCGAACGTGAAGGAAACGAGATAACGAGAGATTATGAAATTTTCAGGTAAATACTATTGGAAATTGACGGATAACGGTATCGCCAGCGGCTACCCTAGGCGCATCAGCAGCACTTGGAAAGAACTTCCGTCGAACATAGACGCCGCGTTCACGTACAGGAACGGCAAAACTTACTTCTTCAAGGTGACTAAGCGAAAATATTTAGACCCGTATTAATAATTAGTCATAGTTATGCAAGGATGATCCAACTCACATAAAGCGTATTTCGAGAAAAATAAAAGTGAAAATTTGATGCATGTTTTAAAAAGTATAGATAGCATTGAGGTTTCTCGTAATCGTTCAAGAATAAGTTTAATCCTTAAAAAAGAGGTAAAAATAACGCAAACAGTAAAAAAAAAAAGTGCAATCAATAGAAAATAAAAACTGTTTCTTAAATAATTTTAGGCGCCCTTAAGGCTTCGATCTTTTTTGTTTTATATAGAAATACATGTGGAGACTGCTCATTGGTAAACAAAAATTAAAAAATCATAATTTCGTAGGCTGGATTTTTTAACAATTATGGCCAGTTATTGCTTGAGATTCGTCTCAAATGAGATATGCAGATCTGAATCTAGAATTGCGATGAGAGTTTCTTAATTAAATCGCGATTACAAATATAAGGTGCGTTCGGGGAACTCGCTATTAACGCTATTCAGCGCTACCATATAATTCTACCCTTGTATATCTAAAAAGCAATAAAGATAAAAGAACGCGGTAGCGTTGATAACATGCTCCCCATAAGTGTCACATATATCATGACTCGACTGAAAAACATGAATCTAACTCGGAATAAACATCTGATAATAAACTCATATGAGACAAGTTTCAGGCAACTACTGTCAATACGAGCCTTAAAAGCAGAGTTTGCTGTTGAAATATGAAAAGCCCGATTTCTCTCGTCACTCTGTGCTAATTTTAAATCTATGCTAACTGCAAATTTCGTCACAGGGCACGCAATACTGGAGGTACATCGACACGACCATGGACGGCGACTACCCGAAAGAGATCAGCGACGGTTTCACCGGCATTCCCGACCACATCGACGCTGCCACCGTGTGGACCGGAAACGGCAAGATCTACTTCTACAAGGGAACGAAATTCTGGCGTTTCGACCCAGCGTCGAAGCCACCGGTGAGGAGTAACTATCCCAAGCTGATTAAGAACTGGCAGGGCATACCAGATCATATCAACGCGGCGGTGACCTATAAGGGCTACACGTATTTCTTCCAAGACAACGCCTACTATCGATTCAACGACCGAACGTTCTCCGTAAGTGCCGTAGATTCTCATTTACAATTTACGTATAATTTGTTTTTACTGATCGTGTCAGCGATTATATTTTGGACTAGAAAGCTGCGTCGATCTCGACACAATGTTGCAACAGCAGCATTGTAATAACAACGCACACTTTCCCTCTTGTTGTCTCTTTCATATCGTGTTTCAAATTATGGCATGTTTTAATGATCTTCATACTTATATGGAAGCGATTTTTATCTCCATATTATATATATATATATAATAAATAGAACTCGCAATCTCTCTTACACTGCAATTCTAAACAAAATCGTAAAACTCGTAACTTGTTCTCGTAAGACTCGTAAGAACTTGTGAGTAGATCCGCGGACCGTATGTTATATGATAACTCGTAAATATCTATAATTTTTTTTTCGTAAGCTTTACGACTTTACGATTTTACGGTTCACTCGTATATTTACTTAGAATTGCATCTAGAACACTTTCTACAGAATATCTCTCTTTATATATAAGAACATATCTATATGAGTGCACAAATATATTCTGTATAAAGTTGTGAAATATATTTAAACATATAATTGTATCAGAGAGATGCAATTCCACAAAGTAAAAGCATATTACGCGTTTATACGTGTTATACGCATTAATTTACATTAATTACGTATAAAATAATCATGTCTGACTCACCAGGTGGACACCGCTGATCCCGCCTTCCCAAGATCGACAGCGTACTGGTGGTTCGGCTGCAAATCCGCTAACAGAGGGACGCTAGGTAATGAGCTTTGGCCGTTCCATTTTGCCAGCAATCTGGACGTAGCTGACGGTGACACGTACGGCGATTACGGTAGTCATGACAACGTCGGCGACATCATTTTAGACGCAGGTATAAAATCTTGGTCGAATCCTGCTCAGCCTCGAAGAGAGCCTCAGCGTATCCACTGTCCATCGCGGATCTCGCTGTTGATCACGCAAAACAGAAACCACATTGTGGCATCTTAATACGTCACTTAATCTCCAAGATAAATTGGCATACGTCTCTTCTGCAAAATTTCCCGATCATTGGTCTTCACGCGTTTACTATAATCACTATTACCATGTTCGCGCTAATTGTCGTTGATTCAGAACGTAATGCCACAATGTTCCGAGAACATTGAGATGAATAAGTTTCCGCGAACCGACGTGAATTGCGCTTCGTTCAAATTAATACTCCGTATCGCGACAGTGGATACCGAGTAGTAATCGCTCGTTCTACTTCGTTGGAAATAATCCACGTGGAAACAAGTAATTCGCTTGTACAACAGAGGCGGGCAGGAACTGCGAAATTAAAAACTTTGGTGTCTCGTACACCTGGCTATTATGATACTGGGGCTACTGTGTATCGCGAAGAGACACGTGCACGCAGTACTTTCGCGAAGAAATGTTTCACATTAATTCCAGATTAGTCTCAATGTAGCCGACGTGGAATAATACAGATACGATATAATGTTACGATAATCAAAACTGCAATGTTGTAACCTGTTCTCAGTAATATTATGAGAATCGCTATTCAAATGGCTCTTCCGTACATTTCTGTATGTGTATTTTATCGAGCCGCAGATCGCTAAAATCGGATGTGATGCAATCCCGGGTGCGCGTGTTTTGTCGCACAATAAAAATGTAGCATATATTTCGAGCATTATCGAATGTGTGTCACAGTTCGAGTCTTCTATCAAGAACGGATGTTACGAAATAATCGAAATTGAAACGTCGGGATGCGAAGTACTGCCTGCACAATTAGTCTAAATGTAAAAAAAAAAAAAGAAACGACTTCGAAGACGACAGTCGTCATTATTTTGGGGACTTCACAGAGATGGTACACCACTCACACCACTAACGAAACGTATTAAAAACTAACTTGTATTGCGTTTTACAAAAGTGAGTAGCACATAACGCACGTAAAACACTAATTTACTAACATCATAACACATTATCAATCCTCACCGTTATTCTAACCATGTGATCGTTAATCATCGTCATCATGGGTTCGTAATTCGGAGGTTCTCTTGTATCCAAAATTCGATCGAAATCATTTTCCGCTGTCTGTATTATTATACCTCTGCATTTGAAGTGTCGAGGCTCATATATTTTCACGCGTCGTTAGTAATCGCGCGAAATAGCAAGGCCCGAAGTATTTATTAGCCAGGCAAGACGGGTAAGAGCCGAGTTTTGTTTACGAAAAACACCGACTTTGAGAAGTAAACGGTGAGATCGCCGTGTGTCACCTTCGCAGCGTCCAGTTTGCAGATAAGAGTAAATATCCTACTAGGAATAAGAGACTTTTTTTCCCGTATTTTTCCTTTTCATTTTCGTCTCACTTACACGGACGGCTTTTATTTCGCACTGTACGGTTGTGGTCTCGTATATTACGCCTTTTGATTCTTCTGCGTATCCCACCTCTGTTATTCTCTCGCCGGTAGAGACACGGTACATTGGTACACGCGCGAAATTTTATTTCAGCATGAGTCGCCTCCTGTGCCTTGCATCATCACACGCACTTAATCGACTCACACACTATATGGACTATATCAAAGTTGGGATCATAGCACACAAAAGAACTCCAGCAGTTATTCGCGTAAGAGCGTAAGGCCAAGAACTCACAGAAAAACGCAGTGAAACTTAAGCAATAAGCGAATTGACCAACCATAGTCGATAATTCTTCTTACGGCTTAAGAATAATCGATTGGTCAATTTGCTTATTGTTTAAGTTTTACGTTTTTCTGTGTGTCTGAGTGTGTTAAAGGTCCCCAAGGTCACTCGAGAATTCGAGTCCACTCGCCTGTTTAAGATTCTTCTACTGTTCAAACATTTTTTTTTGTGTGCTACATGTCTTACGTACCTTATCACGCCAGCGCACGCATCTTTCCCTTAAAATTCGTGCACATGAGAGAACGCGCGCACCTGCACGCGAGCGTAAAACAGGAAAGTGCATGAGTAATCGCTGCCGTTGGCAGTTGCGTTGTTTGGAACTTAATCTGTCATAAAAGTGTGGTTTCTCGACTCGCCCCTTTCTAACAATACACTGACTCGCGTTTACGGGAGATTTCCCGATCCACCCCTACCTCTCGCTCCTATGGTATTAATTCTCTTTTCTTTTTTTTTTTACAAGCCTTGATTTTACATTTGTAGCACTCTTCCTCCCCCCATCCGTCACTTCGACCAGGGAACACTCGTCTACATGCACGCGTTGATTTAATTTTTTCACGTATATACACAACATACATACACACATATATACACGACCTGGTTGCACGATTAATTGACTTCAAAGTGTCCCGTGTGACTATATAGAGGATATAATTCATGTAATTCTCTGGAAACATGGCATGCACTGGTTCTAAGTTGCACAATCTTTCCTCTTTTTTCTCCCTCTGGGTTACAATTCATTTGGCCAGGTTTAAATGGGACAATGCACAATTTCTTAATTTTAGATCCTGATAATTTAAGTTTCGACTCTCTATGCTCTCCTTCTTGTTACTGACGCGCTCTTTACTTTGATTATTCTTTACTTTTTACTGTGATCGTCGATTATTTAGAAGTCTATGAGAAAAGCCGTAGCTCTTGTCTAAAAAATTTAATATATATTTTTCTACGCATAACTTTTCTATACTTTTCTTTCATAATTTGTAATTTTGATATGATGTTGATTTCTTTTAATTGCATATTTATGAAGTTTCATATTACAAAGTACAATACAAATTATGAAAAGTGTTCTCTGACTTGTGATGATAATAACCCGGCAAACAATATTACATGTAACATATCTGTTAGTTGTAATTTCCTACTCAACAATGTAACTGTTATACCAAGCGAAAAATGGCTCATTGATTGACGACAAAACGATGTCAAATCGACGACGATTTGATGGTTTCGATTTGTCATCGTTTTGCCGTCAATCGAAGAGCTATTTTTCGCTGGGTATAACAGATGTGTTATATAAGAGTTACATTGTTGAGTAGGAAATTACAACTAACAGATATGTTACATGTAACATTGTGTTTGCTGGATACATTGTATGAAAAAAAAAAAGTATAGAGTTTTACTCATTTCTGTAAAAAATGATATGTTAAATTTAACATTTCATGTGTTCCAAATTATTTACTCTCATTTATGTGTAAATTTAACACAAAACAAATATGGTAAAAAGTAAACGCATAATATGTAAAAAATTAACACAAGAATTTAACACTTAAATAACATCAGGAATCACAGTTTGTTAAATTGACATATGTATAATGTTAAATTAATTAAAATAAAACGTTACTTTAACATTTCAGAGAAGTATTAATCCACGGTTTTGATGAAATGAAAATGTTAAATTGACATAATCTATGTCTTATATATTAAATATGTCAATTTAATACAACCTGTGATTTCTAACGATATTCAAGTGTTAAATTTTAGTGTTATTTTTTTCATATTATGCGTGTTACTTTTTAACATATTTGTTTTGTGTTAAATTTACACTTAAATGAGAGTAAATGATTTGGAACATATGAAATGTGTTAAATTTAACACATCAGTTTTTACAGTGTAGAAATTCTTTCACAAGGATCCAGAAACAAGACACAAAGAGCTTGAATTTCATGAAAATTTGATCTCGATCAAGACTCACAGTGTGCTCGTTACTTCCCTTACAAAAATGCATTACTCGTAATGATAAAATGGCCAGGGATAAATTTAGTGCTCAGTAGTTTTATTACTCGTACAAATAATAAATACGAATATTAAGTTCTAATGATTTATCACTGTCTATTTTATCAGTAATACTTTTTGGTCAGGATTATATATAACGCTTTAACGCGTGATTCTGTATTAAAAAATTATTTATATTGATACTCACCAATAGTCTAGTGCGCCAAGAGCACTCCGATGAGACGGCTTTTCTCCCCGGCAACGGTCTCATATAAGTTGTAACCTGCGAATATTTCGTAGCGTTGCTATGTTTGGCCATCTTGAAAAAAAAAATATTTAAAGTTTGAGCTACAATTCTATCATCGAGCAGCCATTCTTTCCTGCCCATTGTCTTTTCCGTCAAATACATACAGATATATAGAGGAAACGCAAGTCAACATATGAGATGAGAATCGTGCATTCGCCAATAGAGCTAAATACGTACGACGACACAGAACTTGTCGCTCAATTGCAAAGTTCGAAAAGGAGACTAACCTTACGAGTGCAGGTCGATCCAACCGCCCGCATTAACCGGGAGCAATCGCCTTTTCCAGAGGACAACAATGTACACTCCGAATTCGGGAGAAAGTGAGCGAGATCGAAACGGCCCACGCGACCGGCATACGTGCCAAAAACCCCATATTTTACGCGCAGAAAACCAAATAAAAGTTCCAAACAACAGCGGCGAGCGAGCGGCAGCGGCAGCAGCGGCGGCCAACGTACAGTTTCGCGCGTCTCTCGAGCGCGCGCATGCGCACGCCTGCACGGCCACAGTTCGGCGCTAGTGACGAAGCGCGTCACCACGTTTGAAATTTGAACTCGACAGGAGGCACCGACGAGCTCGTCACGTCGTCCAACCACCATCGCGCGGACTCCGGAGCGATGGGAATCTTCAGGAGCCCGTCGGAAGAGGCGTGGCAATTGCAACTTGTGCTCAGCATCGCGACGATGATCATCGCGAGGTTCGTCATCTCCACGTAAAGGACACCGTCCGGCGTTCATCTCGACCGAGACTGCGACTTATCGATTACGCCTCGATCTCGAAGCGATCGAACGGCAATGTTCGAGTCGACATGCGCGCGCAAGTTGACGCGCGACGAAGGCATCGTTGGAAGCGATTCCACGAGAACACCGTTCGACGTGAACGTCGCTGCGACGAGAGGAAACGTCTCCGCCGTGCTAACGACACGATCGTGAGGGAGAAATGCGTGTCGTCAATGCCAGTGGTTTAGATTTTTAGGAACTCGCTGGTGACTAAGTATAGATAGCTAGAAAATTATACAATGAGTAGTTCCCGCTAGTGCTGCCCCCTCCTCTCAACTACGTGCAGCAACGGCGCGTCCTTTCAAAATGATTTGCGCACGAATAGTCTCCGCGCACTCCTGACATCTGTTCTTTCTAGTTGTGTGTGAAATAAAATTAATGTACATCTGAAATCTGGCGAAAAAACGGAGAAGGAGAAAAATTGCAAGGACAAAAAATAAGAAAGCACAGCTAAAAAGAACAGATCTTCGAATTTGCACATTTGTTCGTGAGTGTATTATATTGTATTTTCGAACCCACGTTCCAAGTTTCACGCAGCAACGTAACACACAGGACCCCTCTACACTGCCTATTTATTCGCGTGTCCACCAAGTTGCGAAAACTTTGATATTAAAGGCACTCACTGACTTCTCGAGACCGACCATGCGATCACGACCCATGTTGTCGTGAGATGTACGATGATACATTCTAGGAATGAATAAATCGAAACATCGTGAGAGTTAAAGAGATTGAAATGTAGTCGGATCGGATTCTTGACTGACAATATCGTCAAAAAATATTTGTTGATTAATAATGACGTTACGTGAGTATTATAGATCCTGCTGCCTGCGTAAATACCAAAATATTCTGTGCGTAATACGAAAATAATCTTTCGCATATATTCTGTATATTATTTTTATCCAGTGTCTAATCGTTTGCATGTGATTTATTCGTATATATGAATATCTATAGTACTCATGTCACTGTAACTATGTTACGATTATGTTAGAATAATTGTTATCTTATGTGCAAGTGCCTTAGAGAATATTTTTGTAATTTATATGCTAAGGAAAAAAATTGTACATGTCACATGTCTGTCCAAGCGCAGCTTTCTCCGTGTATAACTTCAAATCGTCGAACGTCTGGTTTTCCCTTAGCCACATGACATTGCGTTTGAAGAGAATTCTTTCCTGTTTTCACGTATAAACGCTTCCATCGCGATTTGCCAGTAATAGCCTGTTCATCGGATGATTTTATATGCAACTATTGTAGCTAGTATTATCGAGATAATTGTACGTGAGTTGTCAGACCGATTTCTGGCATTAATGGTGCTGTGTGCGAGAATTTATATACTGTTCTTATGTATAAAGCATTAGATTTTAGATCATATAAGATGGAAGTGCACTTTAAAACGCGTCTCGGAGAACGCAATTCTCTTCTCTGGAGGAAAATATTCCGCGGAAAGATTACACGCGTTGAGAATCATCTTCGTTGTATCCAGTATTAACAGATGTTTAAAACGTTGTTTAATACTGTCACTTCGTATTTTCTTACATATTGAAACGTGTCTTAGTAGTGTAATACCGTAAGTGTTTGACCAGTACTTAATTGTTAAGGATTACGTAGCTTCAAGAACTATCAGAGCACAATAAGAAAGGCCTCGTACTATCTGTCGATATTTATTGAATGAAAGAACATCCAAGTGCAATTAATTTGGTTTTATTATTTTGATTTCAATTAATTACAATGCAGCAAACTGACGATTGTCACTGACGATTGTCACTGACGATGCAATTCTGCAATTCTGACACAATAATCACGTAATACGTACAAATCTAATTGTACAAAGCCTTTCTTTATGTCACTACTCAGGGTGTTAATGATTCATATTGAAACTTGCCACGCTACTGCGTCGTGCCCTGAATAAAATCTCTATTGTATTATATTTTTCATTGTCATACAAATATAGTATTAATAAATGCGTACGTTTATATTTTAATCACACGATATCTTTAATTAGATATCAAATGCGCAAAATTTGCGAACACTAATTATCCAATAATACTAACTTGATATCAATTGGAGAAATATCAATTATGCAAAATAACTGTAAATATATATATATATATATATATATATATATTTATAAATATATATTTACAGGATATATATATTTACCGTCCTTTACCGATTTTTATGAGATTATTCTTTAATACTGGTTTATATTTTAAAAGTTTACCGTAACTTTTGAGGAGCTGTTTCCAAAAATATGTAACGTCCGACATTCGCAAATTATTCCATATAAACTCTCTCCCACGATCCGCAATCTTTTTAGCTAAATCATTATTATTTATCGCAAATGTAATTAAATTCCTGGAAATGTGATAAAATAAATTAAGGAATAATCTAATAATGATAAAAATTATCGTATGTAATCATTAAAATGATCATGTGATCATTTTACTCACTCTAATTCTTCCTGATCCGCGTGTCTAGAAACAGGTATGTAATGTATCCATGGTTTCATGGCGTCATAATAGAATTCGGTCCAGTCGTCGCCGACGTGGAAGACTAAGGATCGGCACAAGAACAAGTGTTTGTGCCGAAATGATGCTGCAACACCTCGGAAATTGAATAAGTATTTGTATGCACAATGCGACTCTAAGGATACCACTGATGCTGGTTCTTGGTGCAGAGTATCCTGAAATCAAGTTCAACCTTATAATGATGCAATAATCTGCTAACATAATACAATGATTAATAATTCGGTATAACATAATTAGTAATTCAGTGAGGTTAATCAATAATTCTGTAAAAATATGATACTACCTCATTAGATTTCCATGCTTGATTTTTAGTGTACTGAGCATCTACCAAATGGGACTTGTTTCGGCTTAACAAAATCAAATTGTCACGTTCTGAGCTTGTTCGAGACCCACGGAAGAATCCCTTACTCTTTTTCTTCTCCCATGGAGTTTCCAAGCTTGCCTTGTTTAAGGATTTACGATGCTGATCCCATCTACCAAGGCCACGGGGATACAATGAGATAGCTGGACCGCCTTCCCAAAATGCCCATGCTGGATACACAATATCATAATACTGTGGTGTCTATACACCACAGTAAAATACACATACACACAGTAAAATACACATTTTACAGTCTACTCAACTTTCACCAAACTTATATCAAATACAATTTATAATTATATAAAGATTTTCTTTCACAAAACAAAATCAATAACGCTTCAGAATTAATAACAAAACTATTACTTACCTTACTGAATGAAAAAATAGGCAGCAGCTTCCCAAAATGTTGACTAGATTGAGGATAATCTCTAGTATTTATGACTAAATCCATATCTGATAAATTGCCAATTACTTTTAAAAGAAAATGTTCAATTCCAGCACATCTGGCTGGAAACATACATTCCTTCTCTCTATATAATGTACTTTTACTTATTTGATAAAATGTACCTCTGTAATTGTACAAAAATTGTTATACATATATATATATATATATAAATAACAGATGAAAGATGAATATATTGTTAAATCTACATGCTATAGATACCTAGTTTTTGCATTATTTATCATTTCTTCACTTATGCCTTTTTTCTTAAAAGGCCTCAAGTCTCGTAAGATGACATCTTTGAAACAATCATGCTTTGTATTATTGCATTCTTTATAGTTTTGTTCCGCATCTTGAATCATTGTTAGATACTTTTGATATTCTTCATTTATTGCTAGTAATAGATAGAAAGAATATAATACAATAAAGAGATTGTACTGCATTATATAGGCATTATAAAATCCTGTGGAAAACTGTTTTTAAATCTGTTAACACCTTGGGTTTGCAAAAGAGTAATACCTTTTGTGTACATTGATGGTATTCTGGTCTCAATCTTACTTTCTTTACAAGATTCCGCATTAGGTGCGGAACAGTATTCCTCTTGGCTTAGCCCAACGACGAGAACAGTCAAAAAGACGATTAAAACTGACAGTAACATATTTTATTATCAAAAAGCTACACGCGATCGCGAAAATTATAAATTACAAACAACAACCGGCCGCTCTTTAGCAAAGTGGTTGTCGCAACTAGCTACATCTAGAAGGATATAAGGAAAGAAGGAACTATACAACTACATCAGTTATAGACGTCAATAATGCTAAGATGTTTGGACATTGTCCAATAGATGTCAGCACTTAGTCCTTGTAGTGAGCAACATACAACTGTTTCCTACTCTTTTTGGCTGCGCTTCCTTGTAGCTGCTTGCAATCCTCTTTCCTCCTCTTTTCGGCCGGATCTTAAAGGTATATTTCGCTGTGTATTTCATTTAATACAAGATTTGGAACACAATATATCATTTAAGAAACAGAACGCAGTATGTCGCGACTGAAAAGAACGGATCCTTCTATGCATTTCTTCAAGATGTAATCGATGTATGCGAAATGTTATTTCAAACATAGTCAAAGACTATACAAAACATTGTCTCAAATGTTCAGTATTAATGAGTAACGTATGTATCGCGCGAACAACATGTCTCAGTTGCAATAAAAAGACGTGTTATCCCATTTGAACAACTCTGCAATTTTATATTAAGATTAGTTGATTGTTGACAAACACTGTTGTGCAGCAATTTTTCGATACGTTAATAATAGCTTAATACGTTTGCATGTCCGGAGACAGAAAACAATCAAACAGTGCTGAAAACAGAAATGTAATGGAGAAACGATAAGATCTCTTTTGTTGACTTCCGTTGCAATCGGCTTTTGTTTACAACATGGCGTAGGTAGAGTAAGTGTTGCGTATAAGTTGCCTTATCTCAATCTCGCAAATGTTGTTTTCATATTGTGATTCGACACAAGTATTATCAATACAGTAGTATTAGAGTATTATATTACTCTATATACAGATAATGTTATCCTATCATATCTCATTATTTGCATCAGTTCTTTCATAGTTGATTACTTACAACTCGACAATTTCTACTGATTGCTGCGAAGGAACAGGTGCAACAGGTGCCAGGACGATCATTGCTTAGCACGCACACACTGCTTCTCAATCGGGCGAACTTTTTTATCGAGTGCATCCGCATGATTTCCAGCCTTTAAACTTCGACGACAGATTATCCTATCCCTTCTTACTAAGCCAAAGTACCAGGATCACAAAGGTATATAAAAATAATTATATTGGGTCATTAAAAAGTTTTCGTCACAACACGAGAAGAAAAGTTAATTATATAAGTGTTTTAAAAGTACATCAAATTTTTTCCAATATATACTATATTAAATAAAACACTTCTTCTAAGACTGCGTTCGGGGAGACGCTATTTAGTGCTATGAATGTATTCTGTCCTTGTTTGTTCCTGAAAGTTGAACAAGGATAGAGAATGCTCATAGCGCTAAATACGCTGAAAAAAAAGTTTGGTAATACTTGCCAAATGCGTTTTATCATACTATTTGGTAAATAGTAACCAATATGGTAAACGTTACCAAATGTTTAGTAATAATTACAAAATTGTTAGTAACATTAACTTTCATATAGTAATATTTATCTTTTATATTTAGTTGATACTATTTTACTAAATGTAGTAATTATAACACAGGCTGGATAATTATTACCAGAAATTTTTCTCAGTGTAGCGTCTCCCTGAACACAGCCTATGGCTCCTGGCCTCTCGCATTGTTTATCTTTGTAATGACGTCAGAAGCGAGAAAATACATGCTAAAAATTCTTGCAAAATACGTTAAAATAAAAATATATATCCATAAAATAACATTTGCATTAAACAAATTTGTAAAATATTCTATGCACTCCCCTTTTGCTCACAATCAATAATTTGTTGTAAATTAATATAACATACAATTCATCTTCTTAACATACAATTCTTCTTAACCTATTTCTTCGCTTATTTCTGTTCAGGTTATACAATAAATTATTGATTGTTAAAGCAAAAGGGAATTGCACGGAATTTCTTACAAATTTGTTTAATCGATTGCAAGTGTTACTTTATGGATATATATTTTTATTTCAACATATTTTGCAAGAATTTTTAACATGTGTTCTCTCAATTCTGACGTCATTAGAAAGAGATAGAAAATGCGAGGGGCTAAGAATCTTAAAACACACACACTTGCTGTTTTTAATAAAATTTACTATACTCCTTAACAAGATGGAACTTCCTGACAATCTATTTCCGGATTATTAAAAACATAATGGAAATGAAAAATTTATATGAAAAATAAACCATTATGTATATATAAACTTATTAATAACTATTAAAAACGTAGTAAAGTTGAGGAGAATTTGTATGAAAAAAATATATATACTACAATTTTTTTTCGTATAAATTCTTTTCAATTTTACTATATTTTTAATAGTGTAAATACAGATTATCAATAAAGTCTTGCTAAGGAGCATAGTAAGTTTTTGAAACATAGTAAATGTTTTAGTAGCATAGTTCAATTCCTAAAATATAAATAGCACATATGGAATGAAAAAATAGTGAATTACTGCAAGATGACAATATACTTCTCAGTTACAAAATCCCTTAGTAATTTTTACTATAAAAGTCTCCTTTCGGAAAGATAACTAATATATATATTTTTTTCTTTTTTTTTATATATTTCTGTTAGACAATATCTCACGAAGAAATTAATTTTTGAAAGGATTAAACATGGAGTGCGATATCTAACGAATGGTTGCGTGTTATTTTCTTACGTATAAATGTTTTCTTTTCTAGAAAGAAATGTAGGAAAAAAGTGGACGTTAATGACTGAACTCAATAACTCAAAGGAACCGAGTTAAGCGCGCTATAATTGCAGAAACCAAGTGCAATGTAAAATCGCGTTGTTCGTTACACTATCGTAAGAACCATCGCGAGTACAAAGGGGAAAACTTGCGATAATCATAATCTCTTCGGCCGGCGATGGATAATAATGATTATGGTAAAGTCGGCTTCAGGCGGAGGCAAAGAAACAATGGCCGAGAGAGGATCGTCCTACTTACGCAATTCTTAGATATTCACGCAGTCCGCGTACGCTACGCTACGCACAATTATCGCTTTGTCCCCCCGTTTCCGCGATCGCCAGGTTACCGTTCGCGATCTCTCACAGTTTCTCTCCGTTTTGCAATTTTTCCCTTCGTTATCGCGCCGCGGTTGAGAAACGTCAGGTTGCTTTTCCGCGAAAAGCGATCAATTACGACCGCACGTAGGTGCGTACGCCCGCGTGAGAATACCGTGCCTTCTTCTGATCTAGAAACCGCTGCGAGCCGTACGTCGCGATTGTTTTCCCCTCGCAATTATGGCATACGCGACGACTAATTTCTTTCGCGGTTGCGTCAAGGAGTCGAGTAACTGTTACTTCCCAAGCGTTCGTGTAGGGATGACCGTTTGTTTGTTTGACAAAAGGAACTTCACCGAACATCTCTCGCCTAAGGGACACCGGAAAGAGTGCGTAAAATCGCGCGAAGGCACGATTAAATCATAATGCAATATATATATATATATATATATATATATATATATATATATATCGGCGGAAGCTAATTATAATTAAATTATGGGTCGCGGCTCTTTTTTGCCTCATTCACTCGTTCGTTGAATGGGGTTTTGTGAAAGCCCCTCCGGACGGATGGGCTTCCTCCCTTCTCGGCTCCCCGCTTGGGAAGTCTGCTACCGCTTCCTACATACGTCGCCTGTGGTCCGCGACGACTTTTCTTCTGATTGTGTCGTTCTACCGTGTAAATGATTTCGATGTATGACGCGGCGTTAATTCTACTGCGTGTGACGTAAATTAAATTTTCCAGGCACGTTTAGCCGGCCGATTAAAATTCACGTCAACATGTGTGCGGAGCGAGCGCAAACTTCGCCGCTGTATATCGTTCCTCTTGGGATAGCGTGGGAAAAAGGAGAGAAACGGTAAATACACCGCCCCAAAAGAATCAGCGAATTACTTAGTCCAACTCGTCACTGTCGCATCGCCGTATCGGTGCGTATTCGTTTGTTCAGTCGTCTTCAGTATGTTTTAACATTTCCAACCGCTAACACTTGGTTCAATTTACAGGATCATGTACAGAGTGTCTGACGCAACGTGTCTCTATATTTCATGGATGTAGATTAGATGACAACGAATCATTTTGCAAACAAGCAAAACTCTTAACTAAAGTTATTAATTAAAGAATATAATTGCGAACATAATCACGCGTGATACGACTTAAATTAGGTCAAACTGAATAAAAAAGTCATCTAGCATTTTGAAAATGATCACGTAGATTTCTAGTTAAATTAGCTCATGAACTAACTTAAAGAACATTGGATTATCGCGCGCGATCATTCGCCAATCTTCTTCAGTGAATAACTCAAAGTTTCATATAGTTCTTTGCAAAATGGTAGAGAAATTTTGTGTCTAGTTTAACCTAATCTACGTGCAAAGTGTGGGACACTGCGTCAGACATCCTATAGACGGAATAGTTTTCCTCCGATTGTTTTGTGCGGCGTAAGCAGTAAAAATTGAGACAAGAAAAATGGAGAAGGGAAGATCGTCATTGACACAGGATACGAATCATATCAACACGTCGTGCAAGGTGACAGATCGCCTGAGCGCTCGTGCACGCCTACGCAACGTCGCACGCGGCAATCGGAATATTGCTTCCGCTTCGGCGTGCATGTGTGAACAGGTAAGCGGAAAAATTGGCTCGAATCGACGAAATAACTTCCGGTTGCCAGCGTAGCCGAGCCAAGCAAAGCATTATATGCCGGGTGGACCAAGCGCGGGACTCGCGCGCGTGCACGTGTGCGTGTGTCACGTCGGTGAGCGTGAGCGCGTGTTCAGAGGCTTTATATTTAGAATTTAACCATCGAACAAAACCGGGAATAGAGATCAGGCCACATCCGGAACCCCGTTAGACATGGCACGCTGGCCGGCGTGGGGACGAAGTCAGGAAGGTCGACCAGAGAGCCGGTGGATGAAAAGCCAACCGCGAAAAGGAGTGAAATCCCGTCGTGCGAAAAGGGGAGGAGAGGCTCTGACGCGGGATGAAGCATAATCACACGCAAATACGAATGAAAGACATCCATACAGACCGACCAAATAACGTTTAGTTGTTATGGATCGAAA